AATATCCCATTTTATCCATAGTTTATTTCACTGTTTTAAACAAACGTAGGCGCCCTAGCGCTCACGGGATAGCCCGGGGAGCCAATTAGCACCCTGCCTGGGCGCCGGCGAATGCGCCTGGTTCAATTGAATGACTATAACGCTTAATCTTATCCATTGTCTATCTCTCTTTTTAAAAAGAACGTAGGCGCCATAGAGTTCTCGGGAAGACAGTTGCGCCAAATCGTATGATAAAAATTGAATTTTTTCCCCCAAATACCTTCTCATGAGTATTTTCATCAACTCCCCAAAGTTTTATAGCATTCGAATGAACGGTGTCGACCCGCATCCGACTTTTATTTTTTATTTACCGTAAATAGAGCAAAATTGCACCTTCCCAGGTCCCGCCCTTGCAGAATTAAAGAAGATTTTTTTCGCAGAAACCTTCCATGGAGTGTTTTAATCAACTCCCCAAAGTTCGATGGCGATCAGATGAACTGTTTCAAACCACAATCAATTTTTATTTTTATGTACAGTATCTAGAGAAGAATCGAATCGCGCCATACCGGGGCGCCGCTCCTGCGAATTTGACTTTTTTTGCAAGCAACTTCCCAAAGTTTCATGGCGATTGGATTAAAGGTGTAGTAATGTATAAAAGATAAACATACAAAGGAACATACATTTCTTTTTATATATAGACTATCGTGCCCGTTCCCGCGCGTTGCCGCGGGGATAGAAGAAAGTGTGACGTAATATTTTAAGAGGGTTTTATCATAGAACTACTAATATTATATTCTTAGACGTGTGACATTGTTTTCTAAAACTGAACTATTTAAATGTAAACAGTGACTGCGTTTGGATCATATTTATCGGGGCATAGGTTTACCTACACTACCGCATGAATGCATTGAGTATACTTTAATCACTAACTGTAATAGTGAGGTAGAACACACTTAAGGATCGCCCAGGTGTCAGGGACGTAGAGGGGCGCTTTCGGGAGCCACCGCTTACACTACCGGAGGGGCGCCGCCCATGGCCCATAGCTCCTTCAAACCAACGTAGTCGCCATGGTGCTCACATGATAACCTTGGCGCCAAATAGCACCCTGCCAGGGCGCCGGCGAACGCGCCTGATTCAATACTATAACGCCTCATCTTATACATAGTCTATCGCACTGTTTAAAACGAATGTGTTAGCCCGGGGTGCCGCTTTGCACCCTGCCTGGGCTCTCGCGAACGCGCCTGATTCAATTTAGAGACAACTACCTCGCTCTAATTTATCCGTTGTCTATCGCACTGTTTAGAACGAACATAGGCATCATTGCGCTCAAGCGATATTCCAGGGCGCCAAATCGAACCCTGGGGCGGCGCCGGGAGACGCTCCTTTTTCGATATAGTCAACGATTATTGTTATTCATCGTGTCTTTAGTGTATTTGCACATCGTGTCTTTAGTGAATAGCATTTTTTTTAAACGAACAGTAGGCGCCATAGTGCTCACAGGGGAGCCCGGGGTGCTTAAGGTCACGTTAGCTTCAGGGCGCCAGCAGTTGCGCCTGTTAAAGTTTTACAGCTAAATATAGTAGTACCCTTTATCTGCTATGCAAGACGACCGAATAACGGATACCAAGGGCTAACATAGGCGCTCTGGAACTCTGGGCGCAAAACCGTGTATTGATCAAAATAGCATCCTCCCGGATATCAACTTCACAAAGGTTAACGGCGATCGGATGAACGGTGTCAAACCGCAATCGACTTTTATTGGTATATACCGCATATAGAGAAAAATCAAATCGCGCCCTGCAAATTTGAAATGTTTTTTTCTCAGAAACCTCCCCGGGAGTATTCTCAACAACTTCTCAAAGTCTTATGGCGATCGAATGAAAGGTATAGTAATGCATAAAAGACAAAAAAAAACAAATAAACAAATTAAAAATTTAAAAAAAACCACATACATTGCTTTTTATTAATGTAGATTAGTGATTAAAATTATTAGTTTAATTTTTAAAAATCAATCTAGTTAATTGAAAAATGAGAAAATGCAATTTGGTCTATTCTTTAATAAACAGCCTGATATTGAATAGTTAGGTGAACATTATTTACACTTACCTGTGTACGTGTCTATCTTGACCTAGTCAGAAAACTTTATTTACACTCACCTGTGTACTTGTCTATCTTGACCCAGTCAGGTGTGCATGTAGCAGCGAATGTAATCTTAGAGTTGTCAGAGTTTGGGGCGTCAGCGTCAGTGGCGGTCACTTGGATAACGGACGACCCGATGGCAAGAGTCTCATCTATACCTTCAATTTAAGCACACAAAAAATGTATTTTTACATCAGTTTTTATCATTACAATCATTGGTTTTAATCATTAAAAAAAAACAAATTTTATGTGTACGTGGTTTTATACTTAGGGCAACATTTTACTATCGTTTAGAGAGATGCATGACAGGATCGGTGCCTACAACAGTTGTTGGTGCGGAGATAATTCACACCAGTGGCGTAGCGAGGTCGGGTGTCACCCGGTGCGGTCCGCACCCCCCCCCCCTCCTCGCTACGCCTCTGATTCACACGGGGTAGACTTAACTGGGTAATTGGTTTTGTTCGTGAAAATAACAAGGTTTTCTTAACCACGAGAGCGTGTTTTAAAATTCAAGTGCAGGTTAGGACAAAAACATGCATTAATTCAGAGCATTCCGAACCACTACGATTGAATTCAATACAATACGAAACTAAACGATGCCATACACGATTCTGCACTAATTCAAAATATAATAGTCATTCATACAGTATATGCACTGATTCAAATGAACGAGAAATAGGGAAAAAATTTAACTAAGAGGAATTGTGCTTTAAAAAAAATTAAGTTCTAAAAAAAAAGAAAGATATTTATAGTATGACATTTAAGTTGGCTCTCGACCTTCATTGAATTGTGCGAACACATTTTGGTTCATGCATATTTAGGGTTCGATTTCGGATATAAAAAACGTCACATGAAACATATTAATTTATTTAAACTATTTTAAACGAAACGAAAAAGTGGAAAGGTACACAATAAAATGACGTCATTAATTCTAGAGTCGACATAGTGTTAAAAATCCAATGCCGAAAACAATACAGAATAATAATGACGTCATAGATACTTGATAATATGGTTACTAACATTAACGCCTAATTTATTATTCTAATCTTAAAAATTGTCTTCATGCAGAGTTTCTTTCATGCATCTCTTCCGGAAGGGGGAACCCCCCCCCCCCAACCACCTCCTCCAGAGAACTTCAAGAGTGTCCACCCCACCCTACCCGAGAATTTAGTTCAAATGCCCAAACACCCCCCCCCCCTTTCCCCCGGAGGAAAACAAACACTGCATGATTTAAGTTTAGCGACCAAAAGTTGAAAAGTGGTCTAGAAGTAGGGTGTACCTTGAGTCTGTATAATCAAAAAATGCGACCAGTGTTTCTTTCAGACCTTTTTTCTCCGGCGGGGGAGGGGGCAGATGGCAAATTACCAGGGGGGGTGGACACTGGTAAAAGTATGTATTTTCTATATAAATTATATTTAGATCGAGGGGGCAGTAAAGGTTTTTCGGGGGCTCGCCCCCCCCCCCCCCCCGCCCAGGAGTTGCCTGAAAGAAACTCTGAATGTTTGAGCTTAGGTGCAGGGTTTAGGGATATGACTACGACTATATTTAGTATGGATGTGAAGTAACTACGTGTAGATCACGATTACCAGATAAAGTATTATGGTAATGTCTCCATTTAGGGTCTATACACAAAATAGAATGGCGTCATGGATTGTTCAATAAAACAAATAGAATTAAGAATCGAATGCCCAAAACAATACAAAATAATAAAGACGTATTTGATAATAGAGTAACAAAACATAAAATTGTCTAAATTTAGGAAAGAGTGTAGCTATACAAAACATACCGGAAAAGTAATATATATAACAAGCGGTAGTATCAGGAATAAGGTTGGAGTTGTTTGAGGTTTTATTTCAAATTAAATTTCGGATCCGGTTAAAAATCCGTTTTCTATGACATTTTTCTTTTCCGGTTAAATTTGAAGTTGAGGTAGTGATTTTATGTTTTGGTATCGGTTTAAAGAAAACGACAACGCTATGAACAAACGCCCGTGGTATTTCTCCCTCAACGTGCCATTTATTTAGTACATAATATGCATGTCTGTAAATAGTAGATATAGTTGGTAAAAAGAAAAAAGTTACTTACTGATTGGATAACTTGCTGCGGAAAATACCGGTTTTTCATCGTCCACATCAAGTATAAAGAAACTTGTTGTTACAGTTGTCGTTCTTGATGGAGAACCGGAATCGGAAACAAGAATCGTTGAAGAAAGGGATTTAGTCGATGATTCATAGTCCTGAAGTGCTTTCAAAGTGATTTTACCGGTGCTGTCTACATTGAAGTTGGTATCCGCTTTAAAGATCAAAACATTTTTAAAATTACTTTTTAAAAACTACTCTTCATTTTTGCGGTAACGTCTATTGTTATTCTTAGATATGTTAGTAGTTGTTGTTGTTGTTTTTGTTGTTGAAGTTAGAAGTATTTATTGTTGTTGTACCAGGGATAGGTGTACGTAATCACAATACACTATCCGGACTCCTCTAAAATATTCAATTCTTAAAATCCTAAATAAACAAAGATAAATACATCTGAGCAGCCCTATTTCAAATGAACTTCTTCTTTGTTCTTAATTTTATTATTGGAAGGGATCCCCTCCAACAAACTTACGTATAAGTGTCAACTGGTTATGCGCCATTGAGGCCATTGACTCCGATTTCAGCCTGCTTTTCTTTTTGGATTCGCTTCCATAGCCTTTGTCCGACCAAGAACAAACTAAAAGGCAGCAGTTGATTTGATTTTGGAGTTGTCTCTCCTAGAAGAGTGGCTTTCCCCACCTAATGAGGATCATCTGCCCGAAGGTTCGAACTCGAGACTTTTCGGTTTAGCAGCCATGAGCTTTACCGACCTAACCACGCCGACCCCCATCAAATGAACTAATTAAGATAGATCTTGGTGATCGTAAACGTTTATCTCCCTACAATGATCTATTGCTACACTTATAATTGTATGTACAACGTCAACTGTAGGAAACAAGGATCGCCTGGTATTAGTTGTTGGCTTCACACAAAGCCTTACGGTGCCCATGTATTTTAGTGGTTCAGACAAGCACGACATTTCTATAGCTAGCTGACATGACCTGACGCCCCAGATATGATTGTCCAATTGTTCTTCCCCCCCCCCCCCTCCTTCCATTAAAAAGACCTCTAAACTATATATATATATATATATATATATATATATATATATATATATATATATATATATATATATATATATATATATATATATATATATATATATATATACCTTTTAGTAAAATAAATATTTTAAATTTTTAAGTGTTGTATTTTACTACAATTGATATTAATTGCAATTTTATTGAACAACAATTTACCTGTAGTGTATGTTAATATATTGCCAGAACTATCTTTGTCATTACATGTAAGAGTTGCCAGAAGATCATTTAATTGAGCATCTTCTTTAAAATAGGCGACAAGTGTGTCCACTTGACAGTCCTGGTGAAAGAAAGATAAAATAAAGTATTTGAGATTTACTTAGCATCACGGTAGCACTTACTGCGTGAGTGTCGTTTTATAGTGCAACATCATAATGAGAGGGCCTGTTTGACTTCCTCCAGCTTTCAAATGATTCATACTTTAAACAAAAATCAAACCACTGGCTTCAATACCATCACTTGTAGAGTAGATCGTAGATGTCAATGCAACATACATTTCTATATTTTCTTTATTTTGAAGAGTGGTTGACCTAAAACTGACACGAGTCCATCTGTATGCATCGTGTGATACTCCAATACATTTTTAATTAAACAAAACTAACTTAGTATTGTGTTGTTTGCTTTAAATGTGATTACATTCTTCAGAACGTTTTTTTTTTAAATAATTTCTGTATTAGAATGTGCATCGCGATGTATCTAGTTATTAAGCAAAATAAAGGAGTAAATTTATTTTCATAAAACTCATAAACTATTTAAATATGGATGTAATGTAAACAAACACAGAGGCGTAGCGACCCATTTCGGCGCCCGGGGCGGACTACCAAATTTGCGTCCCCCCACTCCCTCACATTTCTATATATAGTTATTCCTGTCTTTGAAAAAGCCTCCCCCTTCCCCTACCCACTTTGAAATGTTTGTAGCGCTTCTTACCAGTTACTATCCCGTAACAGTTTCTACACAAAGTTGATATAGAAAACAGTTAAATCAGAGTCTGAAGCCTTGTAGTCATTTATTTTCGTAAGTTTGACTGTATAATTCAATACTTCAGCTTTAAATGAGCATTAAATTAATTTTTCTACCCCTTTTGGCGCCCCTTAGGGTCGGCGCCCGGGGCGGCCGCCCCACCCGCCCTCCCCTAGTTACGCCACTGAACCAACACTCGTAAATATTCAAAGCTTAAAAACTTAAACGTACAGGAAAAAACTCATTGACTTCACCGACGTTGATAATGACATTTTGTGTTGCTGTTTTTGACGTATCTCCTGTGTTGTAAGCTTCAACAGTTAGGGTGTACGTTGGTGTGGTGTCATAATCCAGGCTATCCACCAGTATAATGGCACAGTTCGGCTCATCCATTTTAAACTTACCACCGTCGCCAGCTGGATATTAAACAGAAACATTGAGGGCTAGAGTTGATACGATTACTCGACTCAATCACTATAATCTATTATTCTACTCAATCACTATAATCTATTATTCTACTCAATCGCTATAATCTATTAATCTACTCAATCACTATAATCTATTATTCTACTCAATCACTATAATCTATTATTCTACTCAATCACTATAATCTATTATTCTACTCAATCACTATAATCTATTATTCTACTCAATCATTTTAATCTATTAATCTACCCAATCACTTTAATCTATTACTCTACTCAATCACTATAATCTATTATTCTACTCAATCACTATAATCTATTATTCTACTCAATCACTATAATCTATTATTCTACTCAATCGCTATAATCTATTAATCTACTCAATCACTATAATCTATTATTCTACTCAATCACTATAATCTATTATTCTACTCAATCACTATAATCTATTATTCTACTCAATCACTATAATCTATTATTCTACTCAATCATTTTAATCTATTAATCTACTCAATCACTTTAATCTATTACTGTACTCAATCACTATAATCTATTATTCTACTCAATCACTATAATCTATTATTCTACTCAATCATTATAATCTATTATTCTACTCAATCATTTTAATCTATTAATCTACTCAATCACTTTAATCTATTACTCTACTCAATCACTATAATCTATTATTCTACTCAATCACTATAATCTATTATTCTACTCAATCGCTATAATCTATTACTCTACTCAATCACTATAATCTATTATTCTACTCAATCACTATAATCTATTATTCTACTCAATCACTATAATCTATTATTCTACTCAATCACTATAATCTATTATTCTACTCAATCATTTTAATCTATTAATCTACTCAATAACTTTAATCTATTACTGTACTCAATCACTATAATCTATTATTCTACTCAATCACTATAATCTATTATTCTACTCAATCAATATAATCTATTATTCTACTCAATCACTATAATCTATTATTCTACTCAATCGCTATAATCTATTACTGTACTCAATCATTTTAGTCTATTAATCTACTCAATCACTATAATCTATTACTCTACTCAATTACTATAATCTATTACTCTACTCAATTACTATAATCTATTATTTCACTCAATCACTATAATCTATTTTTTTAAATATATATAAAACATACATTCGGAAATCAGGACCATGCTGGGTTTTTTAAGAATCTATTTTTAACATGTTTGTCTTTGAAAATAGTTTTTAAAAAATTCAGATTAATATCTGCTGTGTTATTTCAACACACATACATGAAATCTTTACAGACGTGAGCTCATCTCCAGATCCAGGTAGATCCAAGTCTGCTAGAGTACAGGTGGCTACAACAGTGCCGAGGGCCGTGTCCTCCGGTAAAGGTACAGGTGATGATAGTCCAGTTATTGTTGGGGAATTGTCATTGGTGGATGTAACACTGACTACCACGGTTACATAAGTGACGTTAGAGTTGAGGTCATCTACTGATATCACCAGCTGTGAATGACACCAAGGTTTAGTTTAGAGAGGAAATGTTTATTGGGGTGTAATGCTTAAAATTGATTGGGAATAGGAGAACCCTTTTCTTACTCTACAGTTTCTCGGACGCGTCAAAACTAATAGTACTAAATCAAATCATATTTCTTGTAACGTAAGTATAACAGGCTAGAAAATAGGCAGAGGTGTTACTCTAAACTATAATAAAGCCATAAAATGATGTTGAGGTATCTCAGGAATATTAAATAATAATAAAGAAAAATCTTCTTCTTCGTTCTTAATGTAGTATATGACGGAGGATTTAAACAACAAGACCAACTTGGTGTATGAACTGGACTGTGGTCTCCAGATCAGCGGGTGCCCCATATAGTTTTTCCTTGAGTGGGGTGTATAAGGCCAGTGTTTGGATCGCGCCTGGCTATAGGGCTGGTAAGTAGGTCGCCAACCAGTTCTATGGCTCATGCAGGTTTTATTGAGCCGTAGAACTGGTTGGTGACCTACTTACCAGCCCTATATAATGAACAGACATGAAGGACGTGCTGCGTATTCTCCGGGGCCTTGCCACAAGGGCAAGTTTTGCCACACGCAATTTTTAGTTGTGTATGCATGGGCTGTTTTAGGCTGTTGTGGCCTGATCTGAGTCTAAGCATTATGTTTTGTTGTTTTCGTGTCATATTGTATTATCCATCGTCTTTTTTGTAGTGTGGGTGTGTGTCAGACAACATTTTAAAAAAACATCAATACCCACTTTTTAATTTCGGTAGGGTAGTGAGATAGGTCAAACCCATGTATGGGATTGTAATCTTTTTATTTTAATTAAATAATGTCATACTATAAAACTGTAATTTAAAAATTAATTCATACTTAAAATCTAACAATAGCTATACAAAAAATTGCCAATCGACTGTGATTAATCTCTTTTTTTTAAAAAAAGTCCGTATCTTTAAGTTCTCCATTTATTGCATAAGATCTCATTATTCTCATAGCCTCGGAAAATAGGTGATGGACGGAGAGAGAGAAGTGTGCACATGAGCTTTTATATGTTAGGATTCGGTCGACTGCAATAATTCACGTATCTGTGAAATGTGATCAACAAGGACGGGGACACAAACCAGGACATAAAATGCCGTATCAACGAAGCCAGAAGTACCTTCAAACCACTACACCCGATATGGAATTGAACAGCCTTATTTACTCCAGCGCAAGATAAGAATCTTTAATACAGATGTTAAGGTAGTACGTTTTATGGCGCGGGGGGTTACCAAGTCAAGTCAGAATATAGTCGTTCACAAATAGAAGTCTACGTCAAAACCTTAAGATAAGATGGCCAGACAAAATAACCATTGAAGACTTGTGACAAACCACAAAGCATTATACGATACACAGTGATTTTAAACATCGCAAATGGAGATGGATGGACCACGTCCTGAGAAAAGGACAACATCGCGAGTCAAGGGTTGGACAGGAACACCTAGGGGATGAATAGTAGACCGGCCTGAGCAATCCTGGAGAAGGACAGTGGAAGTAGAAGCAAGGGCTAATGGGCTTAGGGGGCTGTATTGTAGAGAGTTGCTTTAAAAAGCGTCCGTTATAGAGATGTAACTGCAGCCCTTTGCTCCTCAGGGGCGTTAATTAAATTAGTCACATAGTTCGACTGGAATGGCTAGGTCTTTTACCAAGTTCGTCTGGTGTTGCTTAATAAAGCCCGTTAAATATTGGGCTACTTCAATTAATCTTAATGGCTAACATTTTTAAAAATCTTTAGATAATTATAGATTTTTATAAATGAAGATTTTTCCAATGGCAACAAATTTTTATATTTTAATCTTTTTTTTTTCCACCTAGTTATGTAGAAAATACATTATATGCCTTACTATTTACCTCATACTTAGCTAGAAACATCGTATTTTCTACTATTAATTAATAATATTGTGATTAAAATTGTACAACAATTACATATCGAAGCACCATTCAAAACTTACAATGTAGGGTGTAGAATAGTTCCCGCTTATTATGTTTTCTGCGTCTAGAGTGGACGACGCTACAGTTATTTGACCGGTTGCCGGATCAACTGCAAAATAGCCAGCGGTGTTTCCACCATCGGTAGTGTTAAAGGCATAGTTGAGGGTAGTGTGAGTAGGATCAGGGTCAGTGCAGGTCAGTTGGTAAACTGATTGTCCGTTTGTAGAACTCTCTGCCACACTACTAAAACCAACAGACGGACTACATACCGGAACTCCACTTTCTGTTGGAAAAAAATTAAGCTGCTAACTCAACAGATCTAAATAGAGTGAAAAATGTGTATAATGTGTGTTCAACTTTTGAAAGAACAACTTATGTGTATTTAATTTGCAATGGCTTTTTAATTTAAACATCGCGACAAATGGACAGTTATATAATTTAGAAATTAAAGTAACTTGAGATGTATTAGAGCTTTTTTTTACAATTTATAATTCTTTCACGCTTAGAAAATTAAGTTGTCCTTAAACTAAAGCTTAGATTTTTGTAATACTTTGTAAAATACCTGTATCACATTTACATTGTTTCGTAAAAAAACATTTTAATTTAATCTAGATTTCTCATATTTAATAGAAACCACCAAAGAACGATAAGTAAAAGATTATAATCAGGTAGAGTTGTTCAGATTCTGAATTGATGAACGAACAATCTCATTTACATCTATCGTCAAAGGAACATTTAGTTTTATCATACGACATGTCTTGAAAGTACTGTTGTTTGTGCATATTTTGTGTAGATGTTGCTATGAAAAAATTTTAAGTGGATGTTGCCAACTTACCTGCGGCCGGTGTGTATACCAAAATGATGGCGAATATCAGGCTTTTTAAACTATACATCTTCTCTAGGGCTGTCATGCATAGGTCTATTGTTTGTGGAGCTGTTAAAACACGGTACGTTTTCTACAAACCTATCAATAAATATTGTAAATATTTAATATAATAATATTATTATATTAAAAGGTGAAAACACTTTAATTTATCAAACTTAAAAGTATCATTTAACATTTCACAAACATACACATTTTGATGATTTTGTTTCTTCTAAACATTTCATTTTTTAAAGTCTGTAATAATTAGTGATCCAATCATAATGCTCTCATAATTTACTTAAACGCCAAAACATTACTCGATTAAAAAATAAAGCAGGGGTGATCTCCCCTAAACTTTCTCGAATATTCTTATATAACACTACGGGGGGTGGCAACTCGGAATATAGACATGTTTTTTAATCCATTTTTAATTAATTAAACATTTTAAAATAGAATATACTCTCGTAGAAAAAAGAATTGCGCATCTAGTGATAGCCAAACTATATGTGTATAATAGTGCGGAATATTATTAGTACTTTATAAACTCATATTAGTTGTTTTTTTTTGTTTTTTTGAGAAATCGAAAATAGCGTAAATTACTACTTCCGTTCAACGGAAATTACTAAAATTTGACAGAAGGCAGAGTATTAGATCTTTTACTTATATGTGAAATTTCATTTATCTATCTGAAACAGTACTTAAGTAATGAGTTTATAGGCTTTTGAAAAACTAAAAGTAGAATAAGTTCTACTTCTGGTTGTCGGAAATTGCTGAAAAGTTTATACAGAGCTACAAATTTGATATAATACTTGTATATGAAATATCATCAACCTACCTGCAACGGTACTCAAATTATCGTGTTCACAGACACACATACATGCACACACACACATACACACACACACACACACAGACATACGGACAAAATTGCAAAACTATGTTTTTTTCCGACTCAGGGAGGTGTAAAACGTCGAGACTTGTAAAAATCGCGATTTTTTTTTACAATAAATCCTCTATATGCCTACTTTGTATACGAGAAAGTAATAAACCTACATTGTATTTTTGCTGGAGAGTTATGATAGTCGATATACACAAACATTACGATATATACTATATATATATATATATATATATATATATATATATATATATATATATATATATATATATATATATATATATATATATATATATATATATATATATATATATATGCAGCCATATAATAATCAAAATTTATAATTCATATCAAGCCAGTAAGATCCATAGTTTTTACTTACATTATTAATACAATATTTTTTACTTTATAATACAATATCTCGCAATGATATAAATAAAAACTTACGGAATGTTAAATCCCAGTCACACTGTAACCGCCTAATCTCCCGTAGACTTACCACTCTCTAACTGTCACTGAACCAGGTCCCAGGTGTGTCCTGACGACAGCAAATAAATATCACAGTGTACTTAACATCCACTTCTGAGCTCGCTTCACTTTGGCACCCCACGTCCAAGAAATCATTCGCCAAAAAAATCGTTTATTGATCTCCCCGCCGATCACTTGAATCACCGCGTGTCAACAATACGGTAGGGAGGGAGTGGAGGGGTGGGGTTTATTGACTACTTTTTCTTTCTTTTGATTCCCTTCACTCTTCTTGGTTTAGCAAAGGAAGTTTATATTCAGAAGTTGGTTTTTTTTCTGTTTTAAAGCGGTTGGGTAAGAAAGGTTTGAGACCAAAGTTGGGTTGTGTGAAAGGGTTGGTGTCAGAGTTTTATTACTGAATGACACTGTGAATGTCAGGGTTAGGGTGTCAGATGTGTTGTTTTTAGGGAGTGTCAAAGGTGTCGTTTATGGGGGTGTGTGTCAAAGGTGTTGTTTATTGGGGGGGGGTGTCAAAGGTGTTTTTATTGGGGGTGATGTCATGGTGTTGTTTATAAGGGGTGTCAAATGTGTTGTTTATAAGGGGTGTCAAATGTGTTGTTTATAATGGGGTGTCAGAGGTGTTGCTTATAAGGGGTGTCAAATGTGTTTATAGGGGGTGTCAGGGGTGTTGTTTATAGGGGGTGTTAAAGGTGTTTATGGGGGGTGTAAGAGGTGTAGTTTATAGGGAAGGGGGTGTCAAAGGTGTTTATAGGGGGTGTCAGGGGTGTTGTTTATAGGGGGTGTTAAAGGTGTTTATGGGGGTGTCAGAGGTGTAGTTTATAGGGAAGGGGGTGTCAAAGGCGTTTATAGGGGGGTGTCATAGGTGTCGTTTATAGGGGGTGTCAAATGTGTTTATAGGGGTGTCAGGGGTGTTGTTTATAGGGGGGCGTCAATGGTGTTTATAGGGGGGTGTCAGAGGTGTTGTTTATAAGGGTGTCAAATGTGTTTATAGGGGTGTCAGGGGTGTTGTTTATAGGGGGGCGTCAATGGTGTTTATAGGGGGGTGTCAGAGGTGTTGTTTATAGGGGGTGTCAAATGTGTTTATATGGGTGTCAGGGGTGTTGTTAATAGGGGGTGTCAGGGGTGTTGTTTATATGTGTGTCCCGGTGTGACGTCAACGTGTTGCTAGTATTTAAACGTAAATGCACCGAAGACAAACGTTATTGTTTTTTTTTTTAATTCCACGTCTGACGTAATGTTATAAATAATCGAATTTTAGTTTTATTTTTTAATGTATATATCATAGTTTGATTCCTTATTATGATACTAGTAAATATTTGTTTATGGATTTATTGATAAATTGAGTCTTTGTGTCGTCAGGTCGTTTTTTTCTCTTATTTTTTAATGTTTTTTTGTATTGTTTTAATTTATCTTAAAAATGACTTACTTCAAGGGTGTTTTTAGTTGGGTTTTTGTTGTTTTTTTTTTAATTTGTTGTTATTTTTTGATTTTTTTTTAATAATACTTTTGTTGTTGTCAGTGGCGTAGCGAGGTCGGGTGTCACCCGGTGCGGCACTCAATGGTGTCACCCCCCCCCCCCCCAGAGCCATAGAGACCCTTCCCAGGGACAAACTTTCAAATTTTCGACTTGCACCCCCCTCAAACTTTCGATTTGCACCCCCCCCCCTCAAGTTTTCGATTTGCACCCCCCCCCCCTCAAACTTTCGATTTGCACCCCCCCCCCTCGAGTTTTTCTCTATATATTTTGCTAATATTTGCCTTGGTGTCACCCCCCTAAATGGTGTCACCCGGTGCGGTCCGCACAGAACACAACACCAACAAAATACTGTGCGTTCAGTCAACCGAACCATCGTATAACGTCAACCCATAGAAATGAGTTATTTGATACCTTCTGATTATAATTCTGTACATTCAATTAGATCAAAAAATTTCTTCTCTTTTTTTTTAAATTAGATTATTTTAATACTAAAATAAACAAACCCCGAATACGCAATGACGTCATCACTTTTTGTGTGGCGTCTCAATCAGTCTTTCATTACATTTTAAACCCTGCGATCTCTAATTGTATCCTGTTTTTTTTTTTTTTGTGAGAAAGTGATTATAAAAGGCTACGCATTTATTGAGGTCACTTAAGTTCTTTCAATTAAGAAATGAATGATTGATATCAATCTTAATCCGTACCCCCCCCCCCCCCCGTGGGACAGGTGTAAGGGGACCAAACTCGTGGTCCGACTATCGTTTACCGCGACCGTCGTGTTTCTATTGAGGTCAGTGTTGTGGCAGCAACCACCCGAAGAGATCGATCTGATTTTTGCCAATCGATAATCTTTGGGATACACAAGTGATTTACTACACTCGCCTGCCTTTATCAGCGCTGTGGGCTTGGCGAGGGGGGGGGGAGGGGGGGCACTTGAACCTTTTGGTGGGGGAGGGGCGAGATAGACTTGACGTAAACGGAATATCGGCAATCAGAGTTTGTTTCAGATATTCTTATCCACGGGGGGGGGGGGGGGGGGGGGCACTTGAACCTTTTGGTGGGGGAGGGGCGAGATAGACTTGACGTAAACGGAATATCGGCAATCAGAGTTTGTTTCAGATATTCTTATCCACGGGGGGGGGAGGGGCACTTGAACCTTTTGGTGGGGGAGGGGCGAGATAGACTTGACGTAAACGGAATATCGGCAATCAGAGTTTGTTTCAGATATTCTTATCCACGGGGGGGGGGGAGGGGCACTTGAACCTTTTGGTGGGGGAGGGGCGAGATAGACTTGACGTAAACGGAATATCGGCAATCAGAGTTTGTTTCAGATATTCTTATCCACGGGGGGGGGGGGAGGAGAGGGGAAAGGGGGCACTTGAACCTTTTGGTGGGGGAGGGGCGAGATAGACTTGAAGTAAACGGAATATCGGCGATCAGAGTTTGTTTCAGATATTCTTATCCACGGGGGGGGGGGGGAGGGGCACTTGAACCTTTTGGTGGGGGAGGGGCGAGATAGACTTGACGTAAACGGAATATCGGCAATCAGAGTTTGTTTCATATACTCTTATCCACGGGGGGGGGGGGGGGGGAGGGGCACTTGAACCTTTTGGTGGGGGAGGGGCGAGATAGACTTGACGTAAACGGAATATCGGCGATCAGAGTTTGTTTCAGATATTCTTATCCACGGGGGGGGGGGGGGAGGGGCACTTGAACCTTTTGGTGGGGGAGGGGCGAGATAGACTTGACGTAAACGGAATATCGGCAATCAGAGTTTGTTTCATATATTCTTATCCACGGGGGGGAGGAGAGGGGAAAGGGGGCACTTGAACCTTTTGGTGGGGGAGGGGCGAGATAGACTTGACGTAAACGGAATATCGGCAATCAGAGTTTGTTTCATATATTCTTATCCACGGGGGGGGGGGGGGAGGGGCACTTGAACCTTTTGGTGGGGGAGGGGCGAGATAGACTTGACGTAAACGGAATATCGGCAATCAGAGTTTGTTTCATATATTCTTATCCACGGGGGGGGGGGGGGGGCACTTGAACCTTTTGGTGGGGGAGGGGCGAGATAGACTTGACGTAAACGGAATATCGGCAATCAGAGTTTGTTTCAGATATTCTTATCCACGGGGGGGGGGGGGCACTTGAACCTTTTGGTGGGGGAGGGGTGGACTACTTAAAAATTGACACTGGTTAAAATATACATGTTTTTCTATTTCGGTGGGGGGTGGGTGCGGATATGCTTAGGGAGTGGGGGTGGGGATGGAGTCAGAAGGGTATGCCTGAAATAAACACTGTTATTGATTCTTAACAAATATTGTAAATTCAACAACATTTCGATTAAAAAAAAATTTAAAATTTAAACTACACAGTTTATATAATTGCATCTTTCTGTTTTGAGGTCAAATAATTGAACAAGTGCAAGTATTACAAAATTTAGATCATACAATTTTTAATAAAAACTCAAATGGTAAATTTTTTCATTAAAAAAAATTAAATGATTCATTTTTTCATAAAATCTTAGGTGATGATATATAGCCTTCAAAAAGGTAACTTTTTAATGAATTCCGTAATCGGGTAATGATTTATGGTATCGAATCGATCGATTCAGAAGAAAAGTCAAGAATCGATATATTTACATGAAGAAAAAATTATGTGTTATTTATACTCGCTTCTCGTGAGATAAGAATTTGAATTGGTGCCTTTAAAAAAATCAATAGCGTATAAAGTAAGAGTGGTGTGTTAGACTCAATGAAAGTGTGTAGGTCTAGATTAGGGTGAGGATTTATTTTTATTGTTATAGTTAAGGAAAATTTGGTTTGTGTTTTCTTAGAGGAACAATTTTAAGGAGGGGAGTGGATGTAGTTAGGGGGGGGGGGGTAGTGATTGTCTTGAAGTAGACGCACACTGGTGATCGGGCAGTAGGGGGTTAGGCTGTAGATGTGGAGGGCTGAATGTGGTGGGGGGGGGGAGGGCTTGTTGGATGTGTTGGTGTTAGGGTCGGATAGTACTTGTGGTGGTCTTTTGTTTTGAATGGATTGGGGGGGGGGGGTAAATTGGCGTGAGTTAGAGGTGTCAGAGCGTTATGTAGATGTAGATGAGTTTGGTGTTTTGTTTGAATGGGGGGGGGGCGCTGGGTTAAGGGTTCGCTACATGTGAAAGGACGATAAGACACAGGCAGTGACGTCACGGATCAGCCGTAGTTGCGGTACTGGGAGTGGAAGATAGCTAAAGTAGGGGAGATAACTGACACTCTTGAATAAAACATTTCGTAATAAATAACTGCTTCTTCTAATTTTAATTTATTAAAGATTATAATTACGCTACAGTATATAAGATATCCGTTTGTTATTTATTGTACATAATATTTTTGCTTGTTATCAAAATAAATATAGTTTAAGATATATGTCATAATTTTAAACCATGACGCAAGTTTACAAAATTTACATTGATATAAAAATGCACTTTGAAGTGAAACAATCGGCTGCTTGCACTTTTGAATAGCCTAAGTTTTTTTCTAGCTCAGTGGTCGGCAACCTTTTGAACTGGAAGATCTAAATGTTACAATTTACACAAGATCTAATTATATCAATATTTTGGCATTTGATTAAGA